CTTGCCCTTTGTGAATCCATGCTGACTATTCCTAATCACTTTCCTCTCTTCCAAGTGCCGCAAAATAGATTCCTTAAGGATCCCTTCCATGTCCACAGAGCCAGTTACCTCATCATAGAAGCTAATCAGATTGGTCAGGCATGACTTGACCTTTGTGAATCCATGCTGACTATTCCTAATCACTTTCCTCTCTTCCAAGTGCCGCAAAATAGATTCCTTAAGGATCCCTTCCATGATTTTTCCAGGAACTGAGGTAAGACTGACCGGCCTATAGTTCCCTGGATCGTCCTTCTTCCCTTTTTTGAAGATGGGCACTACATTTGCCTTTTCTCAATCATCCGGGATTTCTACCGACCTCTACGACTTTTCAAAGATAATGGCCAAAGGCTCCTCAATGACATTTGCCAACTCCCTCAGTACCCTCGGATGCATTAAGTCTGGACCCATGGATTTGTGTACGTTTAGCTTTTCTAAATAGTTCCTAACCTGTTCTTTACCCACCAAGGGCAGTCCAGCTTCATCCCATCTTGCGTCACTTAGCGCATTAGTCCGGGAGCCAACATTGTCCGTGAATACAGAGGCAAAGAAAGCATTGAGTGCTTCACCTTTCCCAAATCATCTGTCACTAGGTTACCTCCTTCATCCAGTAGGAGCCCCACACCCTATCTGATCACCTTCTTCTTGTTAACATGCCTGTAGAAACTTTTCTTGTTATCCTTCACAGCCTTAGCCAGTCGCAATTCCATTTGCGCTTTCACCTTCCTGATAACCCCCCGGCATTCTCGAGCTATACATTTAAACCCCTCCCTGGTCATTTGCCCAAGTTTCCACTTTTTGTAAGCTTCCTTTTTGTGCTTAAGTTCACCAAGGATTTCCCCCGTAAGCCAATCCTGTCTCCTACCATGTTTGCCTCTCTTGCTACGCCTCGGGATGGTTTCTTTCTGTGCCTTCAATAAGGCTTCTTTAAAATACTGCCAGCTCTCCTGGATTCCTTTCCCCTTCATGTTAGCGTCCCTGGGGATTCTGCCCAGCAGATGTCTGAGGGAGTCAAAATCTGCTTTTCTGAAGTCCAAGGAGTGTATTTTACTACTCTCTTTTCTTCCTTTGGTCAGGATCCTGAAACCTACCATCTCATGATCACTGCTTCCCTCGTTGTCACCCACCTCTGCTTTCCCTATTAGTTCCTCCCTGTTTGTGAGCAGGTCAAGCTGCGCCCGGCCCCTGGCCAGATCCTTCAGCACTTGTACCACGAAGTTATCCCCAACATTCTCCAAAAACTTCCTGGATTGCCTGAGTACTGCCGTATTGGTCTCCCAACAGATGTCAGGGTGATTAAAGTCCCCCACGAGAATCAGGGCCTGCAATCTGTAAGCTTCTCTCACTTGTCCGAAGAAAGCCTCATCTACCTCAGCCACCTGATTCAGTGGCCTGTAGTAGACACCAACCACAACATCACTGCTGTTGTTTGCACCTCTAAACTTAACCCATAGGCTCTCAACAGGTTTTTCTCCCTCTATAGACTGGAGTTCAGAGCAATCATAGTGCTCTCTTATGTATAGTGCAACTCCTCTTCCTTTTCTCCCTTGCCTGTTCTTCCTGAACAGTCTATACCTTTCCATGACAGCGCTCTAGTCATGCGAGTCATCCCACCAAGTCTCTGTTATCCCAATTAAATCATATTTCTTGGACTGAGCCAGGGCCTCCAGTTCTCCCTGTTTGTTGCCCAGACATTAGTGTACAAACATCTCAGATAACCAGTTGATTGCCCTATCTTCTCCATTCGAATCAGGGGTCCTCCTTTCTTGCTGGCTCCTCTTTGCATTTCTTCCCGGTATCCTATTAAGTGTTCCTGCTTAATAGGAATTGGTTGGATAAAGGGGCAAGAGCAGCCCTTGGCCTAGGGTGTATTATGGGAGCATTGAATTTTCTATGTATCAGTATACAATTAATAACCTAGGTTATATTAATATTAACTGCAGATGGGGTTGCCCAACTGTATATATCTCCAACACTAGGAATTAAATTTCAGTGGATGAGTGTTTACCTAGTACAAATTCCAAAGCAGCCATTATCATTTCCAGTATCTTTTATTCACATTAGTTAGTGTATCTTTAAAAGGCGAAGTCTTACACACAGCATGTTTGCGACCACAGTTCCCTGTGTGTTACATTTCAGAACCATCTGATGCATTTGCTCCATTAGACACACAGTGTGATTCACCTTCTAGTTCCAAGCCGTCTTCAATTTCATTTATAAAGCCCACCGACAAAATATTTCACATAACCTTGAACAAGCATGTGTGATATTTCATACATTCACATGGAACATGTAGCTCTAAGAGTTAATTGCATCCCTGCTAGGAAAAGAGTTGGAATTCTTAGCATGCTACCTGAGAATATTTTTTATCTCTGAGTTATGACCGTAATAATATAATAGTCCAAACTATGTGCTTAAAAGACAGATCCCTTGCCCCAAAACTATGTGTTTGCTAATTAGATTAACAGGAGCAATCTGTTCCCACATCTAGCCACTAGGAGAGGCCAAAGACTAAGCTGCTTTGCCAGTAACATTCCTGAGGTTCCAGGCATCTCTTCCCTACTTGTCTCCACACAGCCAGACTCGCTGATGTTTCATCAGTGTTGACATGTCACCCCGCAGATGTTGCCTTAGTGGACACAAGGATTTTGTGTTGTGAACAACATGTAAAACTTGCCTCAGCTGCCACATTTGTATTTTAAAAAGCTGTAGAGCCAGAGGGAGGAAGCAGACTCATATTCATTGCTCACTGGAGAGGGAGCCTGAGTCTCTGAAATCCTAAAATTCGATTTGTCTCTTGAAAAGATCTTTATCCCTTCTTTCTTACAGGTGCGTGTTTTGTGAAGACCTGTCAAAATAAAGAGTGGGAATTTTAGCCTCTCATCATAAATCTTTGTTTCAGATTTCACATACAGAACGGCTTGATTTTCCTCTCACACTCGCTTTATGCTATGCAACTCTATTGGACTTAGTCCTGATTTACACCAGCTTAAGTCACATGAGAACTAAGGCCATTGTGCCAGATTCTGCCACTGTCAGACTGACGGGCACCTTACTCTGTGAATAGTCCCTTTGTTTCTGATAGGATTACTTGTGGAGCAGCACGGTGTTATTCAGCGAAAGTAAATATGGCACAATCTGGTCTGGAAGGACTATGTGATTTCTCTGTAGGCATCATAGATGGCCATTCTTCCCAGCTTCTGAAACTCAAACACGGGCGATGATCCCCAAAATTCAGCACATGGGAGTTCAGAGCTGAGTCTGACACACCCAGGCTATTTCATCTAATGTGCTTTTCTCTTTGAAATGATGTAGTGCATTTTACCTACTCTTCTGCATGAAGCAAAGGGTATTGCTGCAATGGGTGAGTGGGTGGGGTTCTATATACCCTGAATACTTTATCCTGTGTCCCAAGAACTGTGCCATTTTCTTGGGTTGCAATGCAGGTGTCAGAGAACACTCTAAGCAATGGCTCAGCCACAGGCTGCCAGAATGCAGTGACCAGCTACCGAGCCCAAAGTTGGCTCTCCCTGATGTATAAGCACAAAGTGAGCTCTGAAGCACATAGGAGTTTCCCCTTGTAGATGGACAGGAAAGCCTACCTTCTTTTGATGAGTGCTGTCATCAGCTTCTGCACCCATTTGGAATTGGGGTTCAAGCATCTTTGCTCTCCTGAGGGCTTCAGAGTAGCACTGAAATGAACAAAGCAAACAGATTACATTTCCTCACCATTCGTCTAATGGAAAGGTCACCATTGTCTAGTGTCTTAAACTATGTTCCATGGAACACTAGTGTTCTGGAAACAACTCGCAGGTGAGCTGCAACCTCTTCTTTGTTTCTATTACTTCTTTTTTTGTGTGTGTGAGACAACAATTTTTTTCTGCTTTTCCCTGTGTCTGACGGAAGCCCGCTTGGGATATGCGGCATCCCTAGAGTTTTTATTATTATTATTATTATTTTGCTTGACAAATATTTTCCCCGGCATTTTTTTTCTTTCTTTTTGCTTGACAAATTTTTATAACCCTCTGGCATCCCTAGGTGTTCCACATAAAAAAAATTAGTGTTTAGTGTTCCCTAGTCTCAAAAAGTTTAAGAAACACTGGTCTTGGTTATCTGGGATCGGGGTCTGGGTAGCAGGAATCGGACCCTGTGACGAGCCGAGTGATCCACTGAGAGTTCTGTCTACCTGGTGTGTTTACAGTGCCTCTAGGACATGGGATCTAGGTTCTCATCTAGCCTCAGAGCCTGATTCCCTATCACTTAAGCAGACATTTACCCTTGTGCCAAGGGAGGGTCAAATGCCCCTGTTCAGATCTGGTAGCATTTTGCACCCACTGTGCACTGGGGTAAATGACTAAACGAAGCACAGAGCCGTGGTGAAGTATACCTTCTGGGCCACTCCTTACACATCAATTATGAGCAACAGCAGGGTTCAAATTGTGATATATTAAAAGTATTACATTACAGGGGGGAATCCCATTACGTCTTGCCATGACAACAAGCAGCTCCACTGGTTAAGTTATTACTTACATGATCTCCACATGGTCACAGGAAGAGCTCTTGGGAATCACTTCTATTTTTCCTAAGGCTTTTCGCAGAATGAAATCAGAACCTTTGTCTATGCAGCTGCAACGTCCTTTCCCCGGGGACAACTGGCCTGTAAAAGAGAGAGAGAGAAAGAAAGAGATTAGAATGATATCACATACCTGATATTTCTTCAGTAAAATAAAGTTGGAAGAGGAGAATTAAAAACGCCTTCATTCATTCTGATGAGTAATTTGCCCTGCAATGTTCCCATGTGCGTATTTACATTAAGGGGCTATCGCTTAAAATTCTACCCACTTTTGATCTCCAGAGTTCATTTACACTAGGCCCCTTTGAACCACTTGTGCTATCAGTCTCGTTTTGATGTCAGAGGGCCCGATTCTGCTCTCACATGAGTCAATGTCAAACTGGAGTTACCCTGATGTAAAAGCGATGTGAGTGAATGAGCAGCTGGAATTAAAATCATTGTTGGTCGCAAAGGGTGTGATCCAACACCCATTGAAATTAGTGGGAACTCCCTCTGATGATGAAAACAAAACTAAATATGATAAACTGAGGCTGATTTCCCACCTTTACAAATGAGGGGACAGCTGTCACATTCATTTCCCTGCTAAATGCAGGCTGATCATTCTGAGTCCGGTGTGGACAACGCACACATTCTAGACACAAGCAGAGTGGGCAGATGCTTGCAAGTGGCAATAGAATGCAAACCCTGAATTGAGTTGTTTTTTTCCCCCCCTACAAAAACAATTTCCAAGCATTTATTCTGCACCACTTTGCAGTTGATCACTCATTCTATTACCTGTCTTTCATTATATTGATGCCTCTTACCTTGAGTTTCAGCTGCAATCAGTAGCACTGAACAAAGAACTACAGCCCAGGCTCCCTTCATGGTGACGAGAGTGAAAGTTCCTCTGTATTATTCTTCAGTATCTGCGAGAGGTTGAGGAGTGTGAAGAGAAAGTGTTTTCCAGCGTATATTTATACCCAAATCCTTTTCCCTCCTTGACGCTGATTGGTTTGGATTATTGCTGTGACAGCTAAAACAACCAGAGATTATGCAGCTGATATGGGGAATTCCCAAACAGATGGCAGAGTGAAGCATTGTTTTGCTTTGCTATTTGTTCTCCTTTAATTGAAAATTCCTCATTTCTCATAAGGAAAAGAACTGAGTTTCACTTTCACTGACTTTTAGGAAGTGATCCACGTGTGCAAGACTATATGTGCAGAGAAGACAGTTGCTTTTTTGCTCTCCTGGGCAAAAATAAGGGGAAATTCTTGAAATGGAAGCCACAAATATAAATTGTGTGGGTTGAAGCGGCGGAGCGGCGGGGGTCGGTGGGACAAAATCAAGTCTCAGTTCCTGTCTCTTCGTTAAGGGTGCTCTGTTTTCTTATATCTCTTAGAAAACTTGCTGAGAAACATGGACCACAGTTTTAATTACAAATTGCATGCAAGTGTGAAGGACACACGTAGGCTGTGTCTACATTGGCACCCCTTTCCGGAAAAGGGATGCTAATGTAGACTTCGGAGTTGCAAATTCCATGGGGGATTTAAATATCCCCCGTGGCATTTGCATTTACATGGCTGCTGCTTTTTTCCGGCTTGGGGATAAGCCAGAGAAAAGCGCCAGTCTAGACGTGATTCTCCGGAAAATAAGCCCTTTTCCGGAGGATCTCTTATTCCTACTTTCAAGATCCTCCGGAAAAGGGCTTTATTCCGGAGGATCTCGCCAGTCTGGACGCTCTTTTCCGGCTTTTCCCCAAGCCTGAAAAAAAGCAGACTGGCGCTTTTCTCCGGCTTATCCCCAAGCCGGAAAAAAGCGGCAGCCATGTAAATGCAAATGCCGCGGGGGATATTTAAATCCCCCGTGGAATTTGCAATTCCGAAGTCTACATTAGCATCCCTTTTCCGGGAAGGGATGCCAATGTAGACGTAGCCTAATAGAAAAAATGCAGTATTTCTGATATTTAAGATCCCCAAAGATGAATCGAATTCACATTTAGGATCAAGCAATCGGAGTTGAGAGTCTAATTCTTTTTTCTCTGAAACATTTGGGGGGGGGGTGCGTTTACCTTTAAGAAATTCATATGTGTTAAAAAGTCTGAGGGATAGTTGTGTTAGTCTGTAAGGGTGCATCTACACTGCAGCGTTACTTCGAAATAACGTCAGTTGCTGTGTCTACACAGCAAGCCGTTATTTCAAAATAATTTGATGGACTTCATACTCTGACATCTATAACCCTTATTTCATGAGGAGTAAAGGAAGTCGAAGGAAGAGTGTTGTTACTTCAACTTCCTCATGTGTAGACAGCACCAAAAGTCAAATTAAGCTACTTGGACTTCTGCTAAGCAATTGATGTAGCTGAAGTCGTATAGCTTATCCCGACTTTTGCTCTGCCATTTAGCTGTGCCCTAACTTAAGAACTTAAATGAGTGGCCCTATAGCACCTTGCAGACTGTGACAGGGCGCCTGCCCTGCACTGGCTCTTTAAGACCAGGACTCAGGCCCTGAGCCAGGGCTGGGAACAGAGGGACCAGCTGAAGCCATTAGGGCGAGTGAGAGCCCAGCTGACAGCTATAAATAGAGAAGCACAGTTTGCTTGGGAGAGAGCCAGTGGTGGACTGACTGCGGAGGAAGCAGGAGCTCCTAGGAGGGAGGCAAGCTGGGGATAGCCAGCAAGGGCTGGGAGAGGGCCAGCCAAGTGTTCCCCTGGCTAGGGGCCAGCGACAAACCCTGGTTTGCAGGCGGATCAGGATACCGACTGGGTAAGCAGGACAGTTGAGACAACCCGTTGCCAATGATGAGCAACCCATACAGACTGTAACTTGCCCTGAGACGGGCTAGATGAGGACAGTCAGGGGGCACTGAGGCACGGTGGGGGCTTGCCCCCTTGACACAGACTAACAAATACATATATAAAGTATCATGAGCTTTTATGGGCACAACCCACTTCAGATTGCTCGACTCATCGGAAGAAGTGGGTTATGCTCAATGTGAAAGCTCATGATACTGTATATTTTTTGTTTTGTCTCTAATGTCTACACAGTAACATTATTTTGAAATAACTTAGTCCATGTCTACACAGCAGGCAGTTATTTTGAAGTACTGTCAAGTTGGAGGACTTCTGACTCTGATGCCTGTAACCCTCATTGTACGAGGAGTAAGGGGAGGCGGAGAAAGAGTGCTCTATTTCGAAATAAGTGCTGTGTAGACACTCCCTGTTTTGAAATAAGATATTTCAAAATAAGCTATGCAGTTGACACAGCTCTATTTGCATAGCTTATTTCAAGTTAAGCCCTGCTGTGCAGACGCACCCTGAAGTGCTACAGGACAATTTGTTGCTTTTTTAGGGTATCTTAAGTTCAGTGAAGTCTGTACATGTTCCTAACCATGTTCTGTATGGTCCTGTGTGTTCCTCCACACTAATCCCCCAAGTACTCTTGGGAAATGCAACTATTGCCTTACATAAGTTTTTTAAGTTTCCCTATGTGTTAAATTTCTCTCGTGAGTTCATTCAGACAGTTCCCTGTACACATCCTAAGCGTGGGATGAGCATTTCCTAAATTTCAGGGAAAGCGAAAGCTACATAGTGTCTCTATGAGAAAACAGTAGTTTAAATGAAAAAGGAACCAGCGGCAAAGACAAAAAATTCCACAGGATTATTAAGTTCGGGGACTTCCCCACCCTGGCTGTATACGCTCTATTTAGTTTAATTTACAAGGCAATATTTTCAGTGCTACTGCACAACGAGTGTGGTGCTATATAGTGTGCAGAGGACCCTGGATTCTGGCTTTTAGCCATTATTGTGTCTTCTTCTCTTTCACAACATATGAAATATGAAGGAGCCACCAGTGGGGTCCAAATTGTGGAATATATTTAAACTGAGGGGTTCTCTCTAGTTCTGTCTGCAGACTAGAGGGCTCTGTAATGAAGTGTCACAGGGTGGATTCGCTCGGCCCCCTCAGAGGCAGGGTGTTAGGCCTCTAAGACGTCCCAAAGAGTGTTCCACCCCATGTGCATCTCAGTCCCTATGGCTTAGGTCCAAAAACTACACTCCGTCCCCAATAAAGCAGTCCAGCCTAGCGACCAGGGTCAATTATAACACTACTCCCTGATCTCAGGGCAGCGAGGCCCATAGCTACAGTCCCAAAATCAGTATCAACCCACCTTCATTCACCCTCCCGCTTAAGAAGGTCTTCTAGCGAGACGCCTCTTCTCTGGCATCTGCATTGACCTGGGGCGGGGGGGAATCAGTATTAGTGATGGCTTTCCCCGGCTGGTGTGCCACCTGAAAAGAGTAGGGCTGGAGAGATAGGTACCAGCACATGATTCGCACGTTGGTGTCTGTTACGTTGTGAAGCCACGTCCGTAACCACGTCCGTAGCGTATAGGGGCTACCTAGAAGCAGGGCAGGCAGACACTTATCCGGAGCAGGGGATCCGCCTCCACGAACTTCCACAGCTTTGACTTGAGGGGTCTATTAAACCGCCCAACTAACCCGTCCCTCTGAGGATGATACACGGAGGCTTTGAGGGTGCGGATCTTCAGCAGGCGGCATAAGTTGGCCATGAGCCAGTCAATATCTCTCTTGGTAATCCCACCCTAGCAAATTCCTTCAGGAGCCTGTTGGCAATGGGGTGGGCCATAACAATTGGTAGGGGGACTACCTCAGGGTAACGTGTGACATTGTCCACTATGACTAGGATGTATTTATGCCCATTACTGCTCCTCTCCAAGGGTTCAACCAGGTCTAAGCCAACCCATTCTAAAGGGGTCCCCACCACCGGTAGAAGCACCAGGGGTGCCTGAGGGAATCCTGGTCTTCTGGCATTCAGGGCAGGATGCATAGTAGGCACGGATGTCTCAGGGTATCTCCAGCCAAAAAAAAAAAAACCTCCCTGCTACTCTTTGTAGCATCTTTCCTCTTCCCAAGTGCCTGGCCCAGCATGCACTTAAGCGTAGTAACCCCTGCCGGGACCTCCGAGGAACTAGCAGCTGGCGAATGTCTGCCGTGGTTTAGGGGCCTGGGACCCGCTGGTACAGAAGATCTTTGCAGATCTCAAACCGGGGTCCCTGGGGGTGTCGTTGCAGCAGATCGCTTCCTGGGGACAGTTTTACTACTTGTTCCCAGGCTCAGCTGAAGGTCGAGTCACCCCTCTGTTCCTCGAGGAAACCCCCTTGGAGGTCCAGACCCACTTGTTTTGGGTCAACTGGGGCCTCTATCTCCCTGTCCCAGAGTCCCCTGAGGGTCCTTCATCCGGATTGTCCGGCAGGTCCCAGCCTATCAACGCCGTCCAGGTGGGTTGAGTCCCCTTCGTTCTCAGGGAATGAACGTTCTCTCCTCACAGGAGGTCTATGAAGTTGGGCCAACTGCGCCCTAAGACCACCAGGTAGGCTAACTTCTGGGCCACCATCACTCAGTATTGTTCTTCCCGCTGCCCGGTCTCCACCAGTAATGTGGCCCGGTGCTGCAGCAGCCATGGCAGCAACCTGCTCCAACGTGATGAGGTAGGATTCACGGTCATCATGGGGTCCCATCGTTGTGAGGCGTATGGGCAACCTCTACCCCATCTGCGGCTGGGCTAGGAAGAGGCGGGTGGGGGAGCCCTCCACAGCACCATCATCTGCTGGATCCGCTGATCTTGTTGGGCCTGCCGTTGGGCAGCTAGTTCCCTTAGTAGCTGTTGGTGCTGCTCCTGTGGTGAGGTTGCTGGGTCACCATCTGTTGGAGCAGTTGGGTCTGCAACCATTCAAACCCTTAAAGAGAGAACTACTACATGACAGCTGGCTACAAGGGGACACCCGCTGATTCCTCACAGGCCCCTAATCAAGAAAACCCTTACACCCATACCTACATCCTTTTTTGCCTCAGTGGGAGACTGATATGATACAGCATGTCTGGGGATTTCTAGGACAAAATAAGAATTTCCGTAATGGCAATCCAAATAGATAACAAGTGGCTAGGAGAACAAAAGGGCAGTG